TCCCACTCCCCCAACATGCTCTGTATCTGACTATGGGTGTTTTCACTGGCTATCCTCCATGCCTGGAATTTCCTTCATCCTCATTTCCTAGCTTCCCTAGCTTCTTTCTTTGGCTTCTTGTTAATATCCTGCCTTCTCCAAGAAACCTTTGCAGATCCTTTTCAATGTTAGTGCCTTACCTCTATTGATTATCTCCAATTTATCCTGTATATATCTTATTTGTCTGTAGTCATTTTCATGTGTCCCCCATTAGACTGTGGACTCCTTGAGAGTAGAGACTGTCTTTTGCCTTTTTTTGTATTCCTAACTGTTATCACAGTGTCTTGCACGTAGTAGTTATTTAATAAATTCTTGTTGACTTGACAAGGAATTGTAATAATAGTTACAGTAATAATGATAATGATGATAATAATATCATTTAACATAGCACTTTAAGGACTGCAAAGCACTGTACATGTTTCAGGTCCTTTTGACTTGACAAGTTTCTATTCTGAATTATTAATTACAAGATAGGTTATTTGGTGAGACATATTTTGAACATTCAATGTGATTACTTTAAAATGTTATTGATAATATATCTTGAGCAATTTTGAAGCTGAAGATGAAAGACTCTACTTCTTAATGGTTTTTAATAATACTATTAGATAAGGAGAAAACCAGGAAGGAATTTACTCTGGCTGAGAATGAGGTAAAGATGGTAGAGGGGGAGAGACAGCATTGGAACAAAAAATCACTTTTTCTCAACTTGGTGGTTATTACTGCTGTTCTATACCTGCCCTCAATCTCTACAAATGTACATTTCTAGGGCAATATATTTAAACTTAAATACTAAAACTTAAATATACAACAAGAAAAGAAAAAACATAAACTTAAATATTAAAACTTAAGTACAAAATGAGAAAAGAAAAAAAAAGCATTGCCATGTGCACAGCAGAATATGAGAGGATTCAAAATATATAGCAATAAATTTCCATTTCAAGAAAATCTATTTAATGAATAGTATTCATTTTGTTCAGAACTGTCCATCTCTTCTTTGCTTTCTTGTAAGTTTTTTTTATTTTCTGCTGCGTACTTTTTTACTTTGTTCTTTTTTTCCCACCTTCTTCTCCACCTCCATACACATACACACACATGCATACACACACATATATATACATACATATATACACATGGTCCCATACATATAAAAACATGCATGTGCACACATGCATATTTACACACATATACATATATGCACATACATACACTTAGATATCATAATCATACTCATATATAGACATATACATTAATATGCATCTATGTAAGACCATCCTATAATTATTTATTCTCTGCTTCTCTGAGGGTGAATAATCTCTTCCTTTGTAAGTCCAAGTCTTTCCATAATTTTCTAAATCCACCAAATTGTCATTTCCTACACCACAGCAATATTTCAATCTTATATTGTCTAGTTATTTTAAATAGTCTAAAACAATATTGATTAATATGGCTGACATATAGTGTAGTTTCCTTATTTTTCTCTTATGATTAAATCTATTTTAGCTTAAACTTTGTCTAAGATCATGATTACTATCCCTGCATTTTTCCTTAATAAGTTTTACTCTTGATCTTTATTTTATTTTTGTGTGTATCTCCTCTACTTAACTTCTACCCACTACCATGTCTTCCAATTGTGAGAGTCAGGTAAGGGACATATTTCCATAGGGAAGGAGAATAATGCAGAGATTTAAAGAACAGTTCCAGGAAGTAGTATGCTGTAGGTGGGCGAGGGCTTAACCCATAAGAAGTAAGTTGATGGCTCTAAAAAGACTTCAAATTCAAGATAAGGGTCTAGCCAGCTCAGACCAATTAGGGTTAACCTGAGGACGCCTGAAAAATGTTAGTGCACCTGCTTAATGAACTTCATTACTATTATCTGACACACCCCGCATAAAATTAGAGCCTCATTAATGAGTCATGGGATGTACAACCAAGGGAGGGGGAACATACTTGAGCATATCAAGGGGAAACATGTAAGGAGGAGTGTAACCCAGGAAGGGATGGACCAATCTGGGCCTGGGAGGTTTCTGAGCTGAATTTGAATGTATAAAAGCATGCTTGCCCTTGCACTCAGGGCCCATCCCTCCCTAAGAGGGGTGGAGCCCGGTTCTGGCCAGAAACATCTAATCCTCTGGACTTTCTCTGTAATAAACTTTCTTGATACTAAATTTTAGGTGTCAAGCATATTTCTAACACTATTACTTAACCTATTCTCCACTCCAAGAATCCCTCCCTTATCTTTCCATTTCAGTTAATCTAAATACCCTTCTATTACCCCCCCATTCCCTCACTCTCCTCTCTAAAACTCCCTCCCTTATCCTCTCCTCCCTTCCTATCCCTTTAGCTTTTTATTTCTTTCTGAATTTAGAAGACTTTTATACATACATACATACACACATATGTATATATGTATACATACACACATATACACACATATATATGTATGTATATGTATTATTCCCTCTTAAACCCACTCCTGATAAAAGTAGGGTTCCAGAACTAACAGTTCTCCTCCCCCATCTACTTCCTCTGTGTCAGTGCTTTCTCTAAATCATATCATACTGAGGTCTATCCCAATCTTGCTTACAAACTACCCAATTACTTATAACAATCTTAGACGTACATTTTACATTTCCTCGTATAAAAGAGTCTGTCCTCATTGAGTTCCTTGTAATTAGTCTTTGAGAAGTACATTTTATTTCTCTTCTATCTTATATGTCAAATCTTCTATTAAGCTCAGATTTTTTTAAAGAAATTCATTAAATGTCCATTTTTTTTTCATTCAGGATCATGATTAATTTTGCTAGGCATGATATTTTTAGCCACAATCCCAGTTCTTTTGTGGTGTTCCAAGATCTGCAGTGTTTTGGTGTCACCACTGCTAGAATTGTGGCATCACAATATTTAAATTTTTTTCTTGTTGTTTGTAATATTTTATATTGTCAAGATTTTTTTTTTGATTGTAGCTTTCAGATAGTCCAATTATTCTCATGTTTACTCTTCTTGATCTGTTCCAGATTAGTTGTTTCTCTTATGAGATGTTTCACATTCTCTTCTATTTTTTCATTATATTTTATTTTATTATTTCTTGGTTTCATAACTTCACTGGCTTCCTTTTGCTCAATTCAATTTTTTTTTGCTTTTTTTGGAGGGAGGAGGGGTCAGGCAATCAGGGTTAAGTGACTTGCTGAGGGTCACACAGCTAGTAAGTGTCAATTGTCTGAGGTCATATTTGAAATCAGGTCCTCCTGACTCCAAGGCCAGAGCTCTATCCATTGTGCCACCTAGCTGCCCCTAAATTCTAATTTTTAAGGAGTCATTTTCTTCCTTAAGATTCTGGATCCCCTTTTTTAATTGGTTGATTTTCTTTTCTTAATCTTTTTGTTTTTCTTGGATTGTTCTTATTTTTAAAAGATTTTTCCTCAATCACTCTCATTTGATTTTTAAAGTCTTTTTTAAAGTTCTTCTATTTTTGGGTAAGTGCCCATTTGATGTACTCTTTGGGGTAGGAGAGGCTTTTTTTTTTTTTTTTTTGCTTCAGTATCCTTCTCTGAAGACTAACCCCAGTCTTCTCCATTCCCATTGTAACTTTCTATAGTTGGATTATTTCTCCTTTGCCTGCACATTTTTTTTATTTGTAGCAGCTTATTTTTTGTAATTATCTCTAGTCCTGGGGTTTGGGGGATGGTGCCTCTGGCCTCAGTTCCTCCTTCAGTTCTCTCCTCAATCTGGAACCAAAACCAAGAACTCCACCCTCATGTAAGTGCCCACAGCCAGGTGTCACTGCCGCACTACTTCTGCAGTCACCAGGAATGGACTTGTTCCTTCTCACCCACGGCCATGTCTCAGCCCCACAGATGAGCCTGGCCAGCAGAAGTTCCCTCAATCTTTCCTGGCTCAGGCCCCTGACTCCCCATGCAAAAAAGTTAAGGAGGTAAAAGTTCCTGTGACTAGGGCTGAGGCCACCTACTAATCTAGCTAGTCTCAGGGATACTGCTTTCTGTTTCAGCAGAACTAGCCTGGAAGTATTTACTCTTCACAGGGACCAAACATCCATCCTGGGATTTTTCTTTTCTTTTTTAAAAAATTAATTAATTTTTTTAGTTTTCAAAGTTTACTTCCATAAGATTTTGAATTCCACATTTTCTCCTCCTCCCTCCCCTCCCCCATTCCAATACTGCTTGCAATCTGATATAGGCTCTACATATATATTGATACTAAATATATTTTCACATTAGTCATGTTGTTAAGAAGAATTCATATGATATAATATAAAAATAAAAGAGTTAAAAGAAGAATTAAAACCAAGAAAGGAGGAAAAAAAGGGTGCTGGGATTTTTCTTTGGATCTTCTCCTGGTTATCCCGGGAGGACCACTATTCTGCCCCAACTCTTTGTTTATTTTTGCCACTCTATGTTCACCCTGAGGAATTACTTTATCTTGTTTGTGGGGAAAATCTGGAGAGCTTGGGATTTTCTGACTTACTCCACCATCTTCCCAGAATCCTCTATAGTGCAATATTTTTAATATAATTGCACCAACTTGAAATATATAGCTGTCAAAATGAAATGAATGTTTCTAGGAGAAAACATTCCTCATAACCTAGAACAGGTTAGTTAGTGTATGTAGTTAGTACTTAACAAAGGCTTGTTAACTTGAATTGTATTGTTGAGAGTACTGAGGAAACTTCTGTGATGGTGGAGAAACTGAAAGTGTTTTCCCCCCAATAATGAACAGCTCATGTTCCTTGTAATTAAGTAAAGAGGTTTTCACTGTGACTAATTTCAGATAGGTACTGGCTGACTAACATTTCAGGGATCATTAGCATTCATGTGATGGGAAAAACTCTTTTGTTATCCTCATTTGTGTACTGTAGAAATCTGGCTGGGTTAGAGAAAGCAAATCATGATAAATTGATAGGCTTGGTAACCGGAGAACTGAAAGGACAAAGATAGAGTTTGTACCTTGCCATACATGCTCTGATATGCCTCTGCAATCATAATCCTTTGTGCATTACAGCGCTGAGTCAAAATATCAATCAACATGTCTTTGTTGCAGTCTAAAAAAGAGGCAAAACAATATTCCAAGTTTAACACTACCATTAATCTATATGAATATAGAACCTTGATGATATTTTGTAAAACCTAACACTTTGAAGAAATTAATCCTCATATTTCCTTTAAAGAAGAGGAAAAATATTAATTAGATCCTGAATTTACAAGGAGATATTGAAGGAGTTCAGTAAAATAATTTAATTTAATTTAATTTAATTTAAAATCATTTAAAATAAGATATTCAAGTATTTTTGCTATTGCTTGGATCTTTCCCTTAAAAAAGGATAGATGAGCAATTGCTTATATGCCTATGTGTTTCCTTAGGTCAGTTGTGAGCAAAATTGTACAGTAGGTGGTATGTGCCCAGTAATCCCAAACGATCTTTTTTTGTGACATTTTTTTCTACTTCTCTGGCTATTTTGGAATCCAGTGCCCCTCAAATTTGCTCCCACTCTATAGACACATGCTATTAAAATCAGGCTCAGAAAAGAATTTCATATTTATCTTTAAGCATTCATTTTAATAACAATTTTTATATTTGGAGAATAGCAAGTAATTGCTTTTTGTTAAAGTCATTTTGATCTACAAGTAGATGAAGCAAGCATTTTTTAGGGAGTTATGAGTGAAGAAGTTGGTTTCTCTAGTACTTGTAGGTAGCTGCTCACTCTGAGTAGTAAGCTCTGACCTTTAGGGCCACTTAGAACAACTATAAGCCTTTTCCAGTATGAAGATCTTCAAATATTTGAAGAGAGGCATTTTGTCTCCAGCTAAATCCTCTCTTTTGTAGAGTAAAGTACCCATTTGCTTCAAATGATCATCATGTGGCTTCCATTCCAGTTATCCCCCTCTCTACTTCCATTTTCATTCCTGTCATAACCTCAGAGAGTCATTCCTCCATTTTAGATTATCACAAGGTCTCACTCAGGTAGGAGTGGTTATGATGGGTATGGGATCTGGACCCCCTTCCCCCTTGAACTTTCCCAAGAATTTTAGGAATCCAGCCCCTGAATTCAGATCCCAGGCATTCCCCTGAGGCATCAGGCTCATCCCAGTATAATTCTTTCAACTGTCCTTTCATTGTGGCCCTGGACCCAGCCCAACCCTCATTGTCTGTACCTGGCACACTGGCTCACCGCAGGCACCAACCCCACTGCAGTATGGGCAGCATTTCCTCCTCTGACCTCTCCTCCACCTCCAGTGCAAGCTGATCTTTTCCCTTGGCTGCATTGCAGTTGAATCCAGTTCAGCCCTCACTCCCCAGCCCCTGTCTCACAAGAAGTGGGACTTCCTATCTCTCTTCCACCACACCTTCTGGGCTTTTTCCTCTAAAAGAAGTAGCTACCTAGCCCAGTGGGACAATTAGAGTGCATGTCCTATTTTCCATTTCAGACCTTACTCAGGTTACAGAGGAACTGGGTTGATACTCTGAAGATCCCACTAAGTTTACTGAGGGCTTTAGGGATGTGTCTCTTCAATTTGAGCTTTCTTAGGGAGACTTGTATATCTTCTCCACCTGTTGAGAAGAGAATCTGGGAACAGGCCCAGAAGTTTGGCTAGTTCTGACCCCATGAAATATCTCTGGGAAACAGCTTCTGTTCTCACTAATGTTGGGATTATCAGAAGAGTGAAGAGAGGGGAGAGAGAGACCATATGGTGATTTGCCTGTTAGAAGGCTTAAGAACAGGATTTTAGAAACAAAATTTCAAAAAATTAGGGAGATTACTCAGGAGAAAGGGAAAACCCTGCCTTTTTCCAGGACCAGCTGGTAGAAGGTATTAAAAAGTACACTAATTTAGATCCTGACTATAGATATATAGAAGAGGTGGCAATCGTTGATATGTATTTCATTAATCTGTTTGCCCCAGCAGGAATTCAGAGATTGGCAATGGGACCTCAAACACTTCAGGCCCAATTATTGGAGACAGCCTTTGGAGTCTTTAACAACAGAGACATCACAAGGAGGGCCACTGGTACAAGGAGTGGCCCTCCAAGGTGCCCCCTCCCAAGAGGAACCCCGCCCAGGACCAAAGCCTCCGGGACCACACCTAAGATGTGACCAGGAGGGACTTAGGAGGAAGGATAGTCCCCAAGGTTGAAAAAGTGGTGAAGCCACCACCCAGTACCCTGTCCTCCAGTCTTCTGAAGACTCAGAATGACAGGAAAGCCTGGGGCTTGCCATTGCTTCCACTTCCTCCATCTTTCACTAAGCCCTAGACAAAAATTGAGGTTGAAGGTGAGGTTACCTGCTTTATCATTGATACCAACTACTCTGGCCCTACTCTCCCCTCATGGTTATGGGCATTGAAGGGAAAATTAAGGGATGTCTCCAGACATACCTCCTCCCCTGCTATTTGAGGATCTACTGTTTGAACACTTCTTCCTTATCTTTTCCTCTTACCCTGCCCCCTTGTTGGTTAGGCACCTAATGGTGAAATTAAGGAATCAATTTTCTTTAGTTAAGCCTCCTATCTCCCCTTTCCCTCTGTTCTCCAGACCTCCCCATGTTCCCTCAGAAATGTGGGAGACAGTTGAGCCAATTGTTTGGGATGAGGGAATTCCTGGGTGAGCTACTCATGCTGATGAGGTCTAGAGGTTTAGAGGTGCTGGGACTCCAAAATATCAAAAGCAAAGGTCCTGCCTGAAAGAATTTGACCCAAGCCTTCCCTCAGCCAGAGACAAGGTTTATTAAACATCTGCCATATTGGCCAGACTCTTAAGGAATTTGAACACTTATGAGCTGTTGGCTAGGTTCTTAAGGGATCTGAGACAAGATGGACATAATATACAGAAATTCTGTGGGAGGGATCTAGGAATGGCCAAGCAGTCTGTGGGAACTGTGAGGTAATAGAACCCTGGGAACCAGGACTAAGTGGCCAAGGGAGAATGGAGCCTAGATAGGATTAAGGGTGGGAAGTGGCCATAGGGAGGTAAGACCTGGAGGGATAGGAACAGAGAATTGGGAAATGGGGTGTAGGAAAGGTAAGTTGATGGGATTATACCTTCAGAGGCTTCCTTGATCAAGTAAGAGAATTCAAGGACAGTCCAAGGGCTCTCTAGGGCTCATAGACAAATGGGACCCAAATTCTTTTTGGGGTAAGGGACAAAGATCTTTGCTTGGGCCCATCAATGCCACACCAGCCATTCTTTGCCTCCAAGAACCTAATGTGTTCCCCCAATATCGCCAATATCCAATTAAGCCTGAGGTCTGGAAGGGACTGCAACTATTGATTGAAAAATTCCTGAAGTATAAAATCCTTGTCCCTTGCCAGTCCCCATGTAACATCCCTATCCTTCCTGTAAAAAAGGCCTAATGGAGAACACTGAATAGTTCAGTCTCAGGGCTGTTAATGAAGCTGTTATTCCCATCACCCATAGTCCTTAACCCATATATTATACTCACTCAGATCCCTAGGGGTACCCAATGGTTTCCCACCCTGGATCTCAAAGATGCCTTTTTCTGTACACGTCTTCACACAGACTCACAATTTATTTTTGCCTTTGAATGGAGACCCCCTGAGAAATCAAATCCATGTCAGCTAACATGGAAAGTCTTGCCCCAAGGTTTTTGGGATAGCCCCCATTTATTTGTTCAGGCATTGGGAAGAGGTTTAAGGGATGTTATTCTCATTTATAACCCCACCTGGGAGGCTTCTTTGGCTTCTTGGCTGCTGCCACAGGAGCTCTTAATTTCTTGGGCATTCAAGGCTATAGGGTCTCTTTGAAGAAAGTCCAAATAGCATGTCGAACTGTAAAGTATCTGGGCCATGAACTAACACTCATATCTTGCTCCTTAACCTCAGAGAGGAATTGGCAATCCTGTCAATACCTGTTCCAGGTACTAAAAAACAACTTCACACTTTTCTAGGTATGGTTGGATTTTGTAGACTCTGGATCTCTAATTTTGATCTTATTGCTAAGCCCCTTTATGCCTCTACTCAAGGCCCTGACTCACTCTCTCTAGAGAGGGGCCCCAATGAGGCTAAAGCTTTTGAGACTCTGAAAACTAAATTGATCACAACTCCAGCATTAGCTCTACCCAATCTAGAAAAACCTTTCGCTCTTTATGTTGATGAAAAGAGAGGACAGGCTTTGGGAGTCCTAACCTAGTCCTTAGGACCTGACCCCCTCCCCCAGGCCTGTTGCTTATTTCTTAAAACAATTAGACTCTGTGTCTGCTGGAGGGCCTTCATGCCTCTATGCAGTGGCTGTAACAGCCATTCTAATTGAGGCAGCCTCTAAACTTATACTTGGCCAATTCCCCACAAGTTCAGAATATCCTAGAAACAAAGGGCCATCAGTGGCTGGCTAGCAGCAGGCTCATCAAATATCAAGGCTTGCTCTTAGATACCTCTAACCTAATTCTTTGGGTGTGCCACACACTCAACCAGGCAACCCACCTCCCAGACAGTGCCCACTCCAATGCTGTGGCTCCTGATTGTGAGGAGACCTTGGACTGTGCTTATGCCAGCTGATCTGATCTAAAAGATTCTCCTCTCCCTAACCCCAAAGCAGTGTGGTACACAGATGTGTCAAGCTTTATTGAATAAAGGGTTAGAGCTGGGTATGCAGTCGTCAGTCTCCACCATACTATAGAGGCCAAACCCCTGCCTGGGACCTCTGCCCAGAAGGTAGAATTAATAGCACTCACCCCAGAGCCCTAGAGCTAGTGGAAAATAAAAGTTTTTTTCTTTTTTACTGACTTAAAATACGCTTTTCATGTTCTACACGTCCATGGAGCAATTTGGAAAGAAAGAGAATATCTGACAGCAAAACACTCCCCTATCAAACATGCTCAGGAAATTTCACATCTCCTCCAAGCTGTTCAAAAGCTGTCCAAGATAGCTGTTATTTTTTGCAAAGGCCACCAGAAAGGGGAAATGGATCAGGCTGTGGGAAATCACCTGGTAGACATTGCAGCAAAGAATATTGCCCTCCAGTTAACTATACTTATTTCTTTACTCCTACAGCTCCCTGATCCTTTCACATTTTCTGACAGCCCTCAGAG